GTTTCAAAAATTGATATACTATACCCTTTGAGTGAGGAATTTCAATATGGATGGCTTTCTTACATTATACAACTAAGGTACAATGTGTCTGCTAAGGTAGAAGGTAAAAATTCTACTTTTCAGCCTTTGAGTATGGGTCAATTCTTATAAAGGACTAGGCATTAAGGTTAATTTTGGCTTAAAATATTGACACTCATTTTGGTAAAGACCCAGTGACAATTGGTGGTGTCGAGCAGGGTTTGGTCTGTGAAATAAAAATGGGCATCTATTTTTTGGCAATCAAAAATATGGCACCACTCTGAATTATCAATTGGATTCTAAGTGGTCATTGTTATTGTAGAGCTAAAATGATCCATTTCTGATTTTTTAACCATAATAAATCATTTTGGTATTGTACTCATATAAATGAGGTTTGAGGAAAAGACATAACAAATGAGGTGTTGGTTAAACATTGACATTTCATTTCCATTTGACATTCATAATTCATTCAAATTTCTCTTTAATTAAACTGCTGCTTTCTTGTGGTAACTAATTTTACTATACTGATATGATTGTTTCCACGGAGATCACTAAATCGCAGTTTATTTTGTTGCCACAAATGTTTGTATATAACTGCATTTGGTAGTTTCAGAGCAGCCACAGGCATATTTCTTGCACACGGTGGATGATTGTTGAGCACGCCCCGCCAGTGTTGCGTTTGATAATTGAAAGCACGTGTGTATTGATGAACACCACCAATGTCTAATTCCCCTACGATGAAGATTTCATCGCCTATATGTACCAGACCATCAATATGAGATGTTTCTGTCATAGTACACATTGCCTGAGAGGAGGCGGCCATTGTTTTCCAGTTTTTCTCCTCAATATCGTAAACTTCCGTCCCACAGAATTTCATGCCCGTGCCATTCCCGTGGGATGCGCTTGGACATTCAAGACGTCTCAAACCACCAAATATAAACACATAATCATCCACACCGATCGCACGAGCATCGAATCTGCGCTCTTTCATCGGGGACACTGATGTCCATGTTTCTGATTTCGGATCAAAGCACTCAACTGCTTCGTAAAGTTTTCCCATAATTCCCCCCCCAATGACATAGATTTTCTTATTGGCTACTGCAAATGCTGACCACGCCCTCTTTAAATTCATATCAGGGAGCTTGCGCCATCTATTCGAATAGATATTGTATTCTTCAACACTTGTTAGTGGATCAGACATATCGTTACTCCCTCCTATGGCGTAGATTTTATTGTCTACTGTGACTAGACCGAACCCAATACGGGCCTGTGACATTGGAGTAATAGTGGTCCATTCGTTAGATATGGGGTCATATTTCTCACCACTATTAAGGATTCTACCATTACTATCTCGCCCCCCTACTGCAAACAGATAACCACCTGAAAATATAAAATCATGCTTAGAATGGCAATCATCTGTCCATGGTAAACTTTTTCTAAATCTAAATCATCAGTGAAGTGCTTTCTCCAGTATTTTTTGTGGAGGATTTTACTGCAACATTTTAAGATTTGCAATCTTCAGTGCAACATTGTAAATTAGTGACAAAAACAGTGATAAAGAGTTAGCTGGGTTTAGATATCAGAAGAACATTAAAAGTTAAATGAGACAGTGCTGAAATAATTTTAAAAAGTAAATCTAAAATTGATTTATAATAGTTAAGCTTGGTCATGCATATAAATAATAACAATACTGTTCTAATGCTTACCTGCTTCAACTAGACTGTGGCTGACTCTAGGTGTGGTCATATCTGCCAGATCTACCCAGGGTATAGCTCTTGCTGTGCTATCGTTATGTGGAACTATGAACTGTACAGTTTTCTTTGACTCCACAACCCCAGTGTACCTAAATGTAAGGCATAATAGGTGTATTAGCATGCTTTCATTAGCCAGAGAATGGAGAATAAGGCATAATAGGTACATTAGGAGCCAATTACCCTTTGACTGGTCAGAGCCCTTGTATACAATAAATCAAAGGAGCGTGTGAGATATCAGTGCAGAAATGAATCTAGAAATTGTCAGAGCTAGTATAGGGGGGGGGGTCAAAAACATAGAACACAATGAAGTAAAAACAACAGATCTATCCCTAGCTGATGGTACAGAAAACCCACTATTGATTTAAGGCCGCATAAAATAAGCCCCCTTACCATTACCTAGCTCAAACATGTAGATCTGTCCCATTCAAAACATAGAACACGATGAGGTAAAAACAACAGATCTATACCTAGCTGATGGTACAGAAAACCCATTATAGATTTAAGGCCACAAAGGACATTCCCCTAATTTATAAAATAAAATAAGCCCCTATACCATTACCTATCTCAAACATGTGGATCTGTGCACTTTAAAACTTTCTTAACTTCTCTACTGACCTTACAACATTTTGATAAAATTTTTAAAGTGTTGTTCACTGTGAATGCCTCTTGCCCGTTTAATAAATATTTGGCCAATCCAGCTCTATAAATAGAAGTTGTGTTTTTGATTTTTTAATCAATCTTTTAGACTTACTCTGAATTTTCACCTTCCCCTCCAGAGCCAACTATCACCGTTGTATATCCTCGTAGCTTGCAATCTGCCTCAGATTTTGGCGCAGACAGAATCAAATTCCTCAATTCTTTTACTTTTAATATCAAACCTAAGTGTTCATCTTTAATTTCCTCATTTATGAATTTATCGCCAATATGAGCTAAGCGAACGCTAGATTTGAGAATGTCTGGTAAGATTTCGACACGTGATGGAATGTGACGTAGCCAACGAAAGACACTTTCACAAATCGCATCTTCGTTTCTAACGCAAAGGCTGTCACGTTGTAAGACATCTTTTAGGCCCTCTGGTGACAACTGGAGGAACTCCTCTGTGAAGCTTATTTCCCTGAAAAAATATGTATGAAAAAAAAATGTATGAATATTTCAAATGATAAAACATGAACTCTTTAACATTCTTGCTTTCTAAATTAGACAATAAAAATACATGATTTTTATCTTTTCACAAAGAAAAAGATTTTGCAACTTTTTACATACTGATATGAATTAAAATTTGAAAGTCTAAGTACAAAAACCGTTCTTTAAAAAATAAGAAATCATAACAATTGACTCCATAGAGGCTTAGCAGAATTGAACAATAATAGATACCAAGTCCCCATTTTTGGAATGATATATCACATCAAGGTAATACTGCTCTGGTCAATGGTAAGTGACAGTTTGAAAAACACTCCACTCACGGAAACTTACATGAAATGTTCGTCCAGATAATCTGTTGCGGTATGATAGACTCTTGGACAAGTATACTGCTCTGCAAACTGTCGTATTCCTAAACAATTATCAGGCGATACCAAACCCTCTAGATAGTCACAACAGAGTTCTTTTAAATCAGCCATAAGCAAAACATCTGCTGCTTGGAGTATATCCTGTATATTCTCCTCGCAGAGTTGGATAACTGATGTATAGACGTAATCCAAGATTTCTTCGAATATTTCTTGTGTCATTGTGTCAATTTTAATGCTGTTTGAAGTATCCTGGAGGGGTGTATCATAACTGAACAAAGCCCTGAAAAACAGTAGATATTACAATATATTATACAATATCATGTAATACTCCAATTCGCGATAAGAGTTCAGGTGGTAATTTACATAAATATTTCCCATGATGAATCGCGTTGGAAGGGACAAATTTCATTGGCCCGCCGAACGAGTCGATTACTCTGAACGAAGCATCCGGAGATTGCAAAGTCAAAGGTCATGATCCACTAATTTCATTGGTCGATGATTACATCATAGCGTGATAGCATCAAAATGGCTCGAATGAATGATCGAGTTCAGTTTTCAGTATTTTATTTCAAAAGAGCTGGATGATCATCATGGAACCAATCAAAAGTGTCCAAATATTTGCTTCACTTAGCAGTCACATTTAAAATTCTCTTAATGGGGCTCTATTGAAAGATCCCTTGAACTGATGTTTAATTTACATAATCATATTAAGGTTGTGTGACATGAAATCTTCACTTTGAGAACACTATTAGCATTTTGTTTTGTTTACTCAATAAATGTGGATTCATTCTTAAATATCAAGAAACCTTGTGAAGCAAGATGCGATTAACTATTGTAAACCAAAACCAAGGAGCTCCAACCTTCAGAAAAACTGGTTCAGTTTTTAATGAAATGTCAATTGGGGGAAAATAACTGTCCATAAGTATATGAACACTTAAAAACATAGATCAAGAAAAATGTATGCAGTGGAGGTTGAAAAAAACTCTGATGGATGAGAAAAATATTAACGTCTAAATATCAGATTCAGCAAACACACATATCATTTCAGCAGAGTGTTTAGTATAATATTTGTGAAATTTCAAGACAACCTAAAACATGAGATTAAATACATGTTAACCACATAAGAGGTGTCACAGTAAGGTTCGAAACGGTACAATAAATGGTCTCGGGACACAGTACTTTTAGAACTGAGTGCCATACTAATAATGCACTAAATTAAAGGATGATGATAGAGACAAATAACGCAGATGCGAGAAGGTAGTTACCAGATTTACCACCAGGTGGCTCATTCGGGTCAGATAGCATGCGGGTATAGTAGAAAGTTCCCTTTAACTTAAAAAAATACATCTATTTGCGTGGTTCAATTTTCATATATTGAACCCTTTCTGTGCTGTATTTTATTTTGATGAATGAAACTGAAATAAAATGAATGAAATTGAAAGGTTGAAAATAAAAAATCACCTGAAATATGAACTGGCGGCAGACAAAATGTTCTTCTGTACTGGTATCTTGGTATCTCCGATTACAACTGTACCATCACATAAACAAGCATTTTTTCTGCTTTCATTAATTGCTGTCAATAAAGCATTGGCGTGAAGCGGGTGTGAGAGATTCTTCACATTTGTCCTCTCCGAATTACAGAAATTAGCACCGGAAGCCATCTTGAATTTTTTTTATCTAGGACTAGGTCACACGCGAGAGTTCGTTTTCAAAGTCTTCTATTTGTCTTATCCAAGATTAAATTACAAATCGAAATAAGTAATTAAAAGAAAGAGAATTAAAAGAACCGCTATAGTAATATTTCAATCCATAATATTACTTGAGACGTAAATTTTAAAAAGGCTCGAGAAGTTGGGCGAGAGTTCGTTTTGCATATCAGCCGGTTTGCAAAAACACTTCACTTTTCTTATTATTGTGGGTGTTATAGACGCTTGTACAGCGTAAGTATGCTAAAGTAGATACAACAGATGATATACTTTTATGAAAGTATCTTAAATTACACTTATTCCATGTGATTTGTTTAAGATCCAGTATCGATTTGAGGAATTCATATCCCGGAAGTGATTTTTTGAGGGATTTAGGGTTGTACTAAATACCACCTAGGTGCCCCGCACCTAAGTGTCCCCATTGAAATGCCTTACTGGCATATTTTACTACTTTATCTCAAGCTAACATTTTTCCAAGTGTTGATATATTACATAATAAAGTATTTTCATGGAACTTGTGTAAATATTTCTGTTTTTTATGATAAAGGTTTTTATTGTCTTGAAAATTTTGATCGATGTCGAAAAAGTCATTTGTTAGTTTCATTATTTGCTCACTTTAAAATGCTACAAATTCACTATTCTTTCAACTAAAGTAAGAACAATATATACATTTCAAATATAAATGCACACTTTAGCATAAATGGTGTTTTATTACTATAAATAAGTGACCATACATATGAACAAAATTCCAGGTGCCCATTTTTCTAACAATAAAACTTTTGACATTTTATTTTCGAATCTTCTTTTCATTATTCTTGACTACAAAATGTTTTGGCTTTTCAAGTCTGTTATATGTCAAGTTAATATGACAAAGGAAATAATACTATATTTAAAATATGTACGTGGTTTAAAATGGAATTATAAATCCAGGTGCCCAAGGGGACACCTAGGTGGTATTTAGTAACACCCGGGATTTACCCTTTATAGTTTATTTGCCTGTTGTTCAAATCAAGATTAGTGATACTCTACAGCGGTAGGGCCCAGCCCAAATATGCCGACCAGATTCATTTGTAGTAGGATCAGAAGCTCAATAAATAATTCAGAAATATATGAGACAAATCATACATGTACCTGAATGGTCTAGTTATTCTTTACCTTTTTGATCACTAATGAAAAATTGTGATATTTTGTCGGCGGGAGCTTGTCTGTCCAAACATAGTCTGTGTTGAAAGCCCATGGTCCAAATCTGAATGGTGCTTACTAGTGTTGTCGCGATTAATCGGTACATGGCGATATACAGGGTGGTCCAAAAAAAAGTGAACCCCTGCAACAGGCTACATTTTTCTTAATACATGCATGAATTGGCTCATATTATCACATGTTGCAGAGAAAGGTCTAAAATTTTGGTTGATGCCATAATTTATTCTCAGTCTTAAATTTTGAAGAAATTACAAGCATTTAACAAAGATGCCTGGAAATTAGATATTGTACAAAATTTGATTCACGGAAATTGTTGAAACACATTGGATGATCTTAAACAGCTTTCAGTTAGAGATACAACTTTAAAACCCTAGCATATGACAAAAGAGACACTATTCAAGCAGAAAACACATTTCACACTTTCATTGATCATTTTGAAGCATTTTTAACTGTTCAACAGTAAAGGGGAATGTTACCTACACCAACAGTTAGAGGGGGGCCTCTTATGGAGGGAAGTTACCCCCTGTGACCAGGAATCTGATAACCCTTTCATCAAATATCTTTAAAAAATTGAAAGAAAATCCAATATTCAATGTTTTGAGCCATATATCATTAGAATTGGTCCATGATTTATGAAGATATTGACATTTCAAGATCATATGGGGGTATGTTCATGATTTCACTTGAAAATGTTTTCGTCTGTGGAAGCTTAGCACATCTCTTTGGATCACAATAACTTTGCAACTAACAAATGTAAGATGCTAGTTTTAAGCCATAATGTACAGGATTGAAAATTGAACAAAGTCAGAAAATATTAGTTCTTTAACACTGCAGCTTAAAAAATTCTCAGGGGAAAGGTGTTTAAAGGGTGGAAGAATCGCGGATATTGAAAATCACAATTTGTCCATTTTCAGTAATGTTTGGTTAGGGCTTATAATTTCTGCAAATTTCAAGACTAAGAAAAATGTATGGTACCAACATAAATTTTAGACCTTCCTCTACAACATGTGAAAATAAAAAAGAATTCCTGCAAGTAATAAGGGAAATATGGCCAGTTGCAGGGGTTCACTTTTTTTTGGACCACCCTGTACATCGCCAAAGCTGATTCTGGCGATGCATCGATGTCTGAAACAAAACATCGATGTTTTTAAAAAAAATGTAATTTGCTAAAAATCACCCTTTCTTATCTTATTTTGACGCAAATCGCTTACCTTTCTCATGACTTATTTCATTTTCCAATGTTTTCTGATATTCTTTCGCTTTAAAACTGCTTTAGCTAGTCGAAATGAACCATTAATCTAAAAAGATTACTTATACTTTCATTTCACCATTACTAGAAGTTCCCAGATGTACCAGCGTACTCTTATTAATTTGTTCTGTTCGGTATTTTAGTGCATTAGCGTTCGGTATTTCAGTGCACTTTTCTCGGACTTTTTCTCGATGTACATCGCGCTGTGCATCAATGTTTACTCCTGAAAATTGCCGATGCATCGATGTACGATTATGGCACATCGCGACAACACTAGTGCTTACTGCTTTTGTGATTCCAGAAATGTGACATCAGCATTACAATTATATTTGGACACACAGGCTCCCGGAACAAGTCAAGATCTCCACAATAAATTAAGTGCAAGATCTGTCATTGGGAAGCAGGCACCACTTTGTATAAGGAACGTTTTAAGGGTGGTCACTTTTTTCGCAATTTTCCAATTTGATGTCTCATCTTCTGAATTATTCTTTGAGTCTATGACGATGAGCTCATACTACAAAACGATCTGGCCGGTATCTATGACACAGCCAGCCAACTTTTTGCTCCATTGTGGTGCCAATGTTGAAATAATAATTTCTGTTCCTATTGACCGATTCTTGTAAAATTCTTTCAAAGATACTTCTAAGTTACGAACCAGGAGAGTATAATCTCAGCCCATTGGATGAATCCTTGCCTCCACAGTGTGGGTCTTAGGATTTTTCTGTCATTCTCCAAGTGGCAATCGACTTGTGTTTTCACACTCGCCAATGAAAAATTACACTCGCCACAGTGTTGCCACTGATGCTAATTATTGTCTAATCTTTAAAAAGAATGTAATATGTTTATGAAAGTACTTAAAGTGACAAGTCACTTCAATTTTACACTCAAAATTGCAATGACAAAAACGATTTTTTACATTTATATTAGCAAGCATTGATTTTTTGTTCTGTAAAAATCAGTGAGCTGCAGTGGGCTGTAATGAGGACACAGATTTTAAGTCCGCCAGAAATATAGTCCAAATATTTTGTTCAAATTGTACATTGTCAACAGTCTGCAGGGTTGTGTGCCTAACAGCCAGTTACCTTCTGATAATCTTCTGAAAAGCTAGCCCGTCCCTCTCCAGTTATCTCCCCAGCATTAAAGCAAGTGGGTGCTGCACCCACTTGAGATTTTAGAAACAGGCATGCTCCCACCTGAGTATTCATTTGCACCCACTTGAAAATGAGAAAAATCATAAAAATGTATAGGCATATTTTGACCAAATTTAGTCTAAATTGTGAAATCGAGAACTTTGTCTTGTCTTGTACTCTCAATCTCAGTTTTTAGTGTGGTCATCTAAGTATCAACTACTGTATGTAGTACCCATCATCTCATCTAAAAACCGCTGACTCAGGTTTGGGTGTAAACATTTTAGTATCAGTTTCTATTGCTTTTTATTTAAGGTGTCTAAGATGGCCAATACAAAGATTGCATTCTCTGCTTCTTTGACAACTAGCGACCCAAATGTCCGTCCAGTTGTGATTATCGGCCAAGTGAAACACTTACTCAAGGTACCCTTTGAGAAAGTGAAGTGTAAACTCCAACCAAGAGTTACAGAAGAGGTAAAAAACAGTTCTGTATTATCATTGCAAAAAGAAATTAAGATTGTATGCTGCGCCTAATTGAGAAGATAAACAACTTATAGCTGACATTTGCAGCTGGAACTGTTACAGTTGTCTCATTGCTAATCTTATATACAATGCTGTAGTTACATAATCAGGGTGCTAAATCCAAATTAATCAGTTTTTAGCAAAACATCTCAATATTTTACCCTTTGAAACGGTGCAGTGAAAACTGATTTAAAACAATTTTCAGATTTTTAACATGGTGACACACAGTTTTCAGATTTTCACAGGGTGACACATAATTTTCAGATTTTAACAGGGTGTCATACAATTTCCAGATTTTTTATAGGGTGACAGACAATTTTCAGATTTTTCACAGGGTGACACATAATTTTCAGATTTTTAACAGGGTGACAAACAATTTTCAGATTTTCACAGAGTGACACATAATATTCAGATTTTTAACAGGGTGACACACAATTTTCAGATTTTCACAGAGTGGCACACAATTTTCAGATTTTTTACAGGGTGACACACAATTTTCAGGTTTTCACAGAGTGACACATAATATTCAGATTTTTTACAGGGTGACACACAATTTTCAGGTTTTCACAGAGTGACACCTAATATTTAGATTTTTAACAGGGTGACATACAATTTTCAGATTTTTATAGGGTGTCACACAACACTGATTACAACACCAAGTTGCTCTTTTGATATATTACTGCATTGACTGTTTGACTACTGTTATGAAAATATTAAATCTGTTACAGGTTTATAATGCTGCTGCTTTGAACCTCCAACCATCTCCCACAGATACTTGCTCATTATGGTTGTCAAATGCAACTCTCGCTGCTCTTCCTACCAAGGCTAGCAGGCATAACACACCATCTAGAGGGCACTCTATCTCTCGCATTGTTAAATCTTGTGCTAGTGGAGGGGATGAATTCTTCCTGGTAAGTTCTAATAGCCAGTAAAGAAGTCATTGAGAATTGGATAAAATGTAGTTAAGATGAATTCTTGATTCCTGTAACATCCCATATATATATATATATAGTAGCAATAGTATTTGGTCACCGCATACTTGCCATCAATTTAAATTAATCTTATTAAAATAAAGCAAAAAATGAACATCCTTAAATTCAAGTTAAGGGTACTGTAGGTAGATACACTTAATTTGGCTCCCGCTTTAATTTGACAGATTGGCGGATTCAGAAAATTCACCAAATTAAAAATCTGTCAAATTTCAGTTTGAAAATTTTGTCCAATGCACTTCAGAAATTAAACTCCAGGGGCCCCTTTTTCTGTCAACATGTCATCACTTCTACATTATTCCAAAAGAAATACAGAAAATATCTTATCTTAATATCGTAAACACCTGTCCTAATGACATAAACATCTACAGATATTAAAATTCAGTCCTGAATCCGCCAAATTAAGTAGCGTCAAAATAAGTGTGTCTTCAGTGTGTGCATTTATGATAATGATAATGCATGGGAAATGTTTTTGAATTATTAATTTATCCAAGTTATAAACTGTTTTTCAGATTGTTTGTGAGAGAGCCAATGCCTTTGCCTCTGCTTGTGCTGTAGCCAGGGCGTTTCCATTATACAGCCGTAAATCAGGCGTAGGCCTCACAAAGCGTACAGTAACTGTAGAGTTCATCTTCGTTGGTGAGAACAGTGAAGACCCATTATCAGACAAAGATTTGCAATGCATGACTGATACAGCTTATGCTATTCGTTTAGCAGCTAAAATTGTTGATATACCATGTTCTGAAATGCACACAGATGCTTTCATACAGGTGAATATATCAATTTGTTCATATACCAGGGCCTTCTCAACAGTTTGAAATGTTTTAATTTTGACGTTTTAAAATGTAGTATTGGATCTAATTTTGCACTTTGAATCTAAATATATTTTGTTGCTTGGAATTTTGTCACCTCCCCCAAAGCTCTGATTCTGCCTCCAATACCTTCACTGTAGATTGCCAAGATTTACTTTTTCAGACTCTTGTTTCATAGAGTTGACTTGAATGTTCAAGATATTTTTGTCAGAAAACTGACAATCCAGTTGCTTTGTGATTGTAATTTCTTTCTATCTAATCCCAGTGTACACAATAATGTATTTTTGCATTTTTCTAGGAAATCACCACTGTAGGCAAAGAACTGGGAATTTCTCCTAAAATCGTTCAAGGGGAAGACCTTGACAAGCAAGGATTCGGAGGTAAATGTTGTGAAATGAAATAGCATAATCAGCAGTCACAAATTGTAAACATGCACAAACAAGAAAAAACTGTGTTATTCTCAACACATCATACAACCAAATATGTACGACATGTTCTTGGTGAATAGTGGTGGTAGTATCCCTTTAGTTTGATCTTTTGAACGAGTATTTGACTCTTTTAGAAACATCCACCATGCTATGCAGCTGTGTCCCTTGTATTAGTTCGTTGTTACATTTCACATCAAAATGATTTGTATGTATTTTTCCACTAGGACTGTATGGGGTCGGAAAGTGTGCCGTCCACAAGCCAGCACTTGCTGTCCTTAGCCATACACCAGAGGGCGCTAGTAGGACTATAGCATGGGTCGGAAAAGGCATCGTCTATGACACAGGCGGTCTCTCCATCAAAGGCAAAGTAAGCATATTAAATACCATTTTCTAGCAGATAATCAAAACCTGTATGTCTTAAAAAGGACAATGGTTTCCCTATTACATTACTGCATCCAAAAGTAATCAGTTATGTTATATCAGATTGTATACTGAGATCGTATTGTTCACTGTGGATTTCATATTGTAAACTATTGTATATTGAATACTTTGATGTAATTTACACTTTAGTCTACATCTATATAGTCTATAGTTTATTGTATAGTTTGCTGAAGTCTTATATTCAAGTTTCAAGTTTAGTTTATTTCAAACAAATAAAAGGCCTCAGGCCCATAGTTTTACAAATATAACAATACATGTTTACATCAATTACATCAATATTGTAAACTATTGTGTATTGTATACTTTGCTGTATTGTAGACTGCCATGCCTGGGATGAAGAGGGACTGTGGTGGTGCAGCAGCAATACTAGGAGCTTTCTACTCAGCAGTTAAACAGGTATGCCCAGGGACATGGGATACTGTAGATTGGTATTAATTAATTTGGCGATTTTGCCATTTTTGGCATATTGGTGGCTAATTTGATTTGGCAGACACTTAGTTCTGGTTTTACAGACCAAATCCATGCTGTGTACTATTATTTCAGGGTTTTACAGACAATCTCCATGCAGTGTTTTGTCTGGCAGAAAATGCAGTTGGTTCGGTCGCAACAAGACCTGATGACATTCTAAAGCTATACTCTGGGAGGTAAGTCTCACAGCTCTATAAAAAATATGTCACAATGATTGACTGGAGATAGTATTATAGGGTCAATTTCCTAAGTGACATCTATATTATTGAGTAGAGTGAATGTTTATTCTAAATAGGGAATTCGAAGTGGCCAGACGTACATTCAGCAGTGGTAAGCATATTTTGATTTACATGCCCGAGCAAGGGGCGCCCGAGCAAGGGGCTAAAATAAAAGGCTTTGAGGGCCTAGAGATATAATGCCCGAGCAAGGGGCTAAAATAAAAGGCTTTGAGGGCCTAGAGATTAAAAGGCTTTGAGGGCCTAGAGATATAAATGCCCGAGCAAGGGGCTAAAAATAAAAGGCTTTGAGGGCCTAGATATAAATGCCCGAGCAAGGGGCTAAAATAAAAGGCTTTGAGGGCCTAGATATAAATGCCCGAGCAAGGGGCTAAAATAAAGGCTCCAAGGGCCTGAAAATATATGCGCAAGCAAGGGGCAAAAAATATGAACCATAAGGGTAGTGAATAAAAGGCCTTGAGAGCCTAGAGATACAGAGATATATGCCAGAGCAAGGGGCTATTAAATATAACTATGAGACAATATAAGAGAAGTTTTCTGAGAGGCAAATATTTGACAGAAACAAAGAAAAATAGAACATTGATGACATGAAAAATCTTGATAACATGGCCTTATAATGAACACTGGAAATTCAACGTGTTAATAACACAGTAAAATTAGAGGTCATTATACAGTACGTTATAGTACAGTGTGACGATAACATTGACACTCAGGTATAATCTGGTAATTGGCAATTGAATGAAAACTGGGGTTTACTCAATAGAAAGTAGGTTGAATTGTTTTGACATGACTGGATAACCTATGCAAGTGATTGGTTATGTAATGGTTTAATTCCATGTACCCTCTTGTAAACTAATTTGAAAATGACTTGAGTTTGTAACATTTGAAACTAGTGAAGTCTGATAAACAATTGGCTTCTCTTTACATCTAAAGTCCGGGAGCACTGATCTCTTAGTGGTTTTAACCACGTGGACTTCGGATGTGAGAGTTGTCTCTCCACAGTAGGAGGTAATTGGCAATTGAGGTTAATTACTCATGTTAGGGGACTGATTTTCCCCACCAGTAATTCATGAATGAAACATTGATATGAGGTCAATTTTAGGTTTTATTAGCTTCATAATTACATCATGGAAAACCATCTACTAGAACTACTGGGAGAGATTGCTCTCAAATCTGATGTCCACGTTAGTTTTTTGTTAATTTTTTATTAAACATTTGAGGATTGGGAGTAGTAAAAATTAACAAATCACATTATTCAGGATGTAAATACACCGTAAAGGGTAAAATTAAATGTGTATTTCACCCAATCCTTTAACATGAAATCTACTTGAATGTATGGATGTCACTTAGGAAACATAGATTTCCTAAGTGACATCTATATTATTGAGTAGAGTGAATGTTTATTCTAAATAGGGAATTCGAGGGAGGTAGTCATTAGCGAATGGAATGGATAATAGTTTTCATATCATGAAATTTGGATGAAATATCATGAAATTGGGAAATGATTGAAAAATAAGTTACCCTCCCACCCAACCCATTTCCTGAGGCTGTACATTCTGGTGGGTTTCACTTAAATATGTATTTCACCCAATCCTTTAACATGAAATCTACTTGAATGTATGGATTTCACTTAGGAAACATAGAGTTCCAAAGCTTGGAATAGATAAGAGTAGACAACAATGGAATTAGCAAGGAATGAACTAAATAGGCATGAAATCATAAAATGATATTGAACTTGGGTATGCAACTTCAGGTAGGTAAAAACAGCAGAAACATGTGACCACTTGATTGTTAAGATTTTTGATCAATATTTGTATGAAATTAAAATTTGAAATTAGGAAGTAAAAGGCATTAACAGCACAAAACGTCACCACCTGCTTGCAATTGCAAGCTAAGCCATTAATACAGACAATGGTGCTTAATATCTACACCAGTCATTAAAAAATGGTGACTTTTAATATCGCATCACTTCTTGGTGTTGAAATTAAAAGTTTATTTGTAATAATTTTCAGGACAGTTGAGGTAAATAACACTGATGCTGAAGGCAGGCTTGTGTTGGGGGATGGTGTGGCATATGCTGACAAAGACTTGAAGGCAGATGTCATACTAGATATGGCCACCTTAACTGGTGCTCAGGGTATAGCAACAGGTAAGATATTCTGAAAATGCAGTGGCCATATTTATTATTAAACATATTTTATTCCTCTATATATTACATTACATACATTTTATTGATACAGTTTAACGAAACGGATTGGACAAAAGGCTTTCGCCTATTCTTAAGTCCTCTCCCTAAGTTGTCCCAGAAAATTGTTACAGTTTTATTTATTTGTGCAGGATGGGAGGCTTGGCCATATAGAGTAGGACAAACAATTTCAGTTAGTGTTAGCTTATATCCAGTAGAATTTTAGGGAGATAAGTTGGTAGGATATATCCTGTATCCTGATTTTGAGGTTTCCATATCCAGAGCCTCTATATCTCCCGCCATATCTCCTGGTTCGGGGCATATCTTCTCACTTCCAATAACTGAAAAAATGAAGAAAAAAAATTGAATTTTTTTTAGAAATTTCTACTTTGTTTAGGATATTTAAGCAGTGATGTACAGTCAGTTTGGAAATGGGGTTTGTCCTTTGGGAGATTTGCATATCTCCCTCTGGATAAACCCCATACCCAAAACCTCCCAGTATGTAACCTTAATATATCTGAGATTGTTTGCCTTATCCTATGTTGCTCTTGAAGAAAAGAGTTGAGCGCTAGATTAAAATTATCAATACTCAATAAAGTAATTGTGATGTAATTCAGTTTAAAGCACAATTACTTTTTCCATTATGCCCCAAAATGATAGCTAATCCCTGTTTTACCAACTGCATTGTTTTTCAGTTTAAAAACCCCAAAATTGTCCCTCTAGAAAACTCAAAATATATTTTTTCGTACTTTTGACTCCTTTAGATATTATCTACCACACAAAAAATATTCTTGATTAAGGAAAACCATATTAGTGCCATGCATCTGTGATATATCTTAGTAAATGCCATGCATCTGTGATGTTTTGGTAAATGCCCCTGTATATGTGGTATGTCTTGGTAAATGTCAAGCATATTTGATATGTCTTGGTAAATGTCAAGCATATTTGATATGTCTTAATAAATGTCAGGCATATTTGATATGTCTTGGTAAATGTCATGCATCTTTGATATGTCTTGGTAAATGCCATGCATCTGTGATGTTTTGGTAAATGCCCCTGTATATGTGGTATGTCTTGGTAAATGTCAAGCATATTTGATATGTCTTGGTAAATGTCAAGCATATTTGATATGTCTTAATAAATGTCAGGCATATTTGATATGTCTTGGTAAATGTCATGCATCTTTGATATGTCTTGGTA